AACAGCAGAGGCAGTCTGAAAAAGACTAAAGATGAGACAAAACTTTTGGCTCTGGCAGTGATTTAAGGGCTGGAAAATAAAAATGAAAAATGCTCCTGCTGTCTTTGTTTGATTTCTTAATTATTCTCAACTCACTTCTTTTTCATCTATATGGTCAGCTGGCACCCCGGCTGTTATCAACACAGCAAAAGCTACAATAAAACCCCTTCACTTTTCGTGGGTTGGCAGTAAACATGCAAATGCATAATTTAAGCGATTTCTGCTGGAGCTGCTTCTCTGAAGGTTGGTTGCAGGAATAAGTTTGGCTCTGTTGCTGCTACTTCCGGATTTCCTGTGGGCTAACTTGAACTTTGGGAAAGACGACTCTGAGTCTGAGTGGAATGTCACTTGATTTCAATAGAAAGATGAAGTGCTCAATAAAAGAAAGTGGAGAAGTTTGATTACAGATTATTTTATTGTTGCGATTCATCAAACTAAAGATTAAAAACGGTTGCCGATACACTTTTGTATTTTAACAGTGTTACCAGGTACTGTTCAGATTTTGATTCTCATCACATAAAATCTGATGAGCATATTGGCACCGTCCTAAAAATAAAAATCATAGTGTAGGTGACTGTTTTTGGCTAAATGGATTTTTGTGAAAAAATTAAAAAATCATTGCCTTTTTTACTTTTGCCAAAAGTTAGTTCAGCTGAAGTTTTGACACTGATTTCAGATTCTGTAAATGACAATTTGAGGCACACCAAGATAGAGATTTTTAATGTTGCTGCTCCTCAGAATACTTACTTAAATTGTGCAGTTATATTAACAACATTAGCATTGATATATGAATATTTTCACAGTCTGTCCTTGATGTTTATAGATATAAATCTTCATTAATCTGAAGTACGTTTTGTGTGTTTGAGTGAAGTAAATTATCTGCAAGTACGTTTTTGATGAAACATACATTTTGTTCATTTATGAATTCTGTTTATATCATAGATGTTCCACATATATAATCCTGGATGGATTATATATACATTCATAATGTATATATACATATATAATGAATGCCAAGCCCTTGATATCTCATAGACAGTACTTTGCATTATCTGACCAGATATTTCTATAAGGTCAACGTATCAGATGCGTTAAGAGGATGGTGAGCAGGTTTAGGCAGGCTGCCCTCTAGTGAAGAAATATTAGATCTGCACTGACAGGACTTTCTACATCAGAGGTGAGGAGAAAGCTAACAAGACAGGAGTTTAAACATGCAGCAGGCAGATCCGTCAGAGCAGCACGGGCAAACACAGTTCACATTGTTCTTTTCTTAACCTGTATGATGAATGCTGCTCATTAATCATGGCTATTTGTCTTCTGTTGTAAGTGTAGAGGTCAGTGATTAAACCTTGTTTTCTGTAGTGGAGCCAACTCTCTCTCTCTCTTTCTCTCTCTATTTTCCTTCCTCTCTGAGGATCAGAGGAGAGGCTGTCGTTTGTCACTGCTCCACTCTGCTTTTCGTGGCTCTGATGTTGTCTGTAGCCAAATCCCAGCTGAATAAAAGCCAGAAATTGAAGTGGCAAATTATGTTTTAAGTTTGTGTACTTGCACACAGAAAGCAAGCAGGAAAGTGGGCCAACCATCATGCAGGACACATTACTGCAACAAAACAGCTCTCGTCTTTTTTATTATTATTTTTGAAAAATGACAACAGCAACTGTAAAGATTTTTACTCAACTTTTCACATGTTATTTAGCTATGAACATAAGCAAAACCTTCATACACCTGTTATTATACAAAATATATTTATTGTTCAGGAAAAAATGTCAATTACATATTTCCAATATTGTCAGATAATAGCTTATTTGTTTATGAATTACATTTAGCAATTTTTTTTGTATTGTGTGTCTTTGGTTTTACTTCTGTGTGGAACATGGGGCTGTTAAATCTGTCTCTGTGTCAAAATATAATGACAAATAATTGATCTGTATTATTACATTTGTTTTTTTGTATTTTTAACTGTGCTTTAATTAAATTACTAATGTCATCATGGATTTGTACATGCTTGTCAAGCGCTTTGTGAATTTTTTTCTGTAAACTGCAGTATATAAATATTAAATGGTATAAATAATATTTACTTCATTGTACCATTGGAAGAGACACCATGCTTTATTATAATATATATGTTCTTCCTATATCTAATCTAACTGCTTACATCAAATTTTTGCTTACAACAAAATTGCTGTTTTCAATAAATGTCTGTGTTAATGTTAACAGACCCAATTCCCCATTTCCAGGGGAATTGGTGGCATACACATTTTTCACCATTTAGTATGCAAGTAGTATTACTATTCATATCATTAGACAATGTTTTTATGAATAAATTTATTAAAAAGGGAATGGGCTGATACAGAGTTTGTTTTGGACTGATCTGGAAGCTTGTTTCACTCTCCTAGTGTCTCGATGGCGGAGATTAAGCAACACTTTTTTTAGTATGTGGGTTTTATTGGTGTTGTTCCTCATCAGAGTTGTAGCTTTTCAGCACAGGGAAACACTTTGGAGCCATTCCCCCCAAAACTGTAAGTAAGAATCTGTCTGATTTACAAATTGAGTCCATTAAGCCAGAAATTCAGTCTTTAATGACTTCCTTGGTTACATTATCCTGTGGGAGCAGCACTTCTGAATCATTGTCTCATCGCCTCGACATAAAGGGTCATCCCAGCCGTGAGGACATATGCTGCAGTCGGGGTGTAATCTATCCAGGGGGAGATATAGTGGATTATAATCTCAATCTAATCTGCTCCCATAGGGTTGTATCCGTCCATCATGGAAAGTGAGATCCCATCTTCTGATTAGAAGATGAGAAATGAAGGTAGTGTGTGCGCCTGCTTGCGTAACAGAAAAGACTGTAAATCCTCACATATTTCCTGGCCTTTCAGGGTTTTATCAATATTAAAAAGAATTAAAAGATGAAGTTGAGTCAAGGTCTGTGCACATATGCCTCTCCATATTCTCCATATTGTATTTCTAAATAACTTTTAAAGAAATTATTGTGTGCATTAGCATCATCATTACTGTCTGTATTGCTTATATTAGTGAAACTTAAAGAGGGTCACGTATCTGTTAAGTTACAGATTTGACCCACGATGAGACCCGACTCCCTCTGGACAGACTTGCCCCCACCAGGATTAATGCCCCCACTTCCCTCCTCCAACTCCAGGTGGACCATGTTTCAAAATAATGTTGGTGCATCGTGTCTGTATCAAATCTGGTCTGAGACAATCATCTAATCGCTCAGATCTTATTTTTGCTTTAATATGTGGTTGCCTCCAGTGAAATATATTGATAGCAAGACCAGACACAATTCACAATAAAAAAAAGTCAAGTAAGGATGAAAAAAATTTGTTTCATTTATTTGCTGAAATTTACTGACTACGAAATTTCAGTGCTTGTGGTATTTAGGGAAGAAACCAATTATATCTGCCGGACTTATGTACCAATACCAAAGGTTTTGTAAATTAGCTAAAGTCCCCTTTTGCTTTGCATCGGCATGTGCACAGTTAATAATCCCACTGTTTCCAACTTGCAACATTGTATATTTAGTGACATTTCAGATAAATTAATTGGTATGGGGCAAACTCAAAATCAACAAGTCATTTGTTTTTTTATTTGTGATCAATGACTGACCAGAAAACTGCAATCGTCAGTGCACGCCTAATGGTATAACAAAGTGGAAGTGGTTGGGAACGACAGAATCTCTTGACCTGTAAAGTCAGAGCAGGTTCAGCAGAAGTTGAGGCTCATAGTGTGCAGAGGTTGCCGACCTTTTTCACAGTCTTTGGCAACACACCTCCTCATCTCATACATTCTTCAGATTAGCTCAAGAAAAATCCGTAAAGTGCTTCATGCTCAGTTGTTTTTTTAGGGTTTTTTTTTTTGTAATTAAGCAGCTGCATCCAAGCCACACACTATCCAAGCAGCTGTGAAGCACAGCTTGGCAGTGAGGCAATGTGGCACAAATGACCCCTGCAACAGCATCGAGAGAGCAAGAATCAATATTGTATCAATTGTCAGGGAGTAACAAGCTGCCCAATTACCTCATTGGCCAACCGAAAGGAGAGATAGTTGGGTGGAGAAAGACACTGAAGATTTACATTTACAGTAGAAAAAAGTTGAGCTCTGATAAATAATTGTTCAGTTCAGCCAGCTCATAAAACCACAGAAACACTTCTGTAATTAATTAAAGTTATTTCACTCAGTGGCTTCTTTTCATGTATTTTTGTCTGGTTCTTGTTTTCAGAAAGTTATTTGACATTATTGCTAAAACATAAAATATAAAAGACAACAAATATGGCAACATTTGTAATCAATGCCACATCAGTTGGAGAGGAAAATAATTTGGAATCGCTGAATGTGGGTTAAAAAAATTCTTAGACATAATTTAATCATGAAACCTCTGTTTAAATAAATGAAATTAGTACAATGGCAACTACCTTTGTGTTTTGCCATGTTTACCATTCACTTGCCTTCTTCAGGAAGTTTTCACTTGTTTCCATTGTTTCCTGATCTTGTTGGAGTCATGTTTCCTGTCAATGATTCAGGTTCAGCTTCTGACGTGACACTGATACAGATATTTGTTTAAAAATGCAAATTATTGCATGAGTCCATAATTCTTTCTACACTTTATCTGATGAAAGGTCCCCAATTAATGATGTCAGTATTTAAATTTCTTTAGGAATGTTTTACAAAGTCTGTTAAAAATACTTTTGTGTTAGCTCTGTGCTATGACTTGTAGCCTGTGTTTGTTTATTTTTCCTGTTTGTGAATGAAAATCACCATAATGTACTTCCTAGCCTTTCAGCTGCTTTCACTTCCTTCTCGGTTAGCACCAAATGCTCGACTCATTTTCACCCAACAAAGAGCCTCTTGTGTTCAATCTGGATGATAATGAAAATGTTGCAGAATTGGTGTTATTTGGAAGCAGCTCTCCAACAATGATGCTTTGTGTGTTTTTAATTTAGGCCAAATTGAAAGAGTTGGAGAGCCGAGTGAGGCCCTGGAATGAAAGCTCCCGGCCATCCTGTCTCCCCCAGACCTCCAGGAGGAGCACGCTGGGCGACACACTGAGGTAAATAACCACACTGAAGAAATAAATACCCTTCTGCAGACAAAGCCCTTCTCTGATGACGTTGACCTTCAGTATTTGCTGAGTCAAACACCCCCCTCTCCTCCTACCACTCTCGTTTCTTCTCTGAGTTTCTCCCTCCCCTTTCAGGTTTTGTTCTTTTCCTCTTGTCTTTTAGGGAGACGAGGGCTGTGATCAATGGACTGACTTGATGCTGACCAATGCGGCAAAACTTTAGAGTGACTTGTAATATGTTCCTACACAGATGCAGACACATTTCAGGAATTGAGGGTCCTGCTCTTTGGGAAGAGTCTGGTTTAGGATGTGATTTGGGAATGGAAAGCCGTTGGTGTGAATGACACAGAGGTAAAGGGAGAAAAGGGAGAGTGAAGAGTTTAAGAGGTCAGAAGTTTGTAGCAGAGTCCATGTTGCTTCAATCGGGTGTTTCACAGATGTTACTGAATGTCTGCCTCTGCAACTAATGAATTTTTCTACTTATTTATAAACTTTGATAGTTACTAAAATGTACTGTAGAGATGACTGCACCGAGCTTCTTATAATGGGCAGTGTTTGGAAGATTTGCTGGGTGATAACCCTGGATGCTCATCACAGCTGCACCAGCTGTCTGACTCTCTCTCCGCTTTAGACTATCCATTACAGATCTTCTGTGTCCTCTGCCCTTCTGCCTTCCTTCTGTCCAGCTCAATCCCAGTCCAGCTGTCCCCTTCCTTCATTAAATTGTTCTCCATATTTCACACTGCTCTGTTGGAAGGGAAGGTCTTCTGGAAAGTCACTTTTTAAATGCTAAAGTGTTTTTGTAAGGGCCAGTCAGTGATTCATGCTTTGATTGAAACATATTTATTCAGGGTGTTCCTTAGAGCTGCACATTATAGTCAATTGCAGATATTGTAATACCAGTGTGTGCAATTCTGTAGTCACAGAGGACTGCTTAGATGCAATATTGGATATTATACGTCCAGAGTCCTTCATTGACATTTTGCATATTATTTATCTGATTGGATGGACTCTAAATGACCTTAACTCTCAAATCTTATGTGCATTTTTCAATATTCTTGATGCTAAAGCCAATGTGGCTTTGCACTTTAAAAATAATTGGAATTTAATTAAATCAATAAAATTAATAAAATTAAATAAAATCAGAATTTCCAAAAAAATATTTTTTTTTGAAAATTCTGATTTTGAAGTTGATTTATATTGCTGAAGAGAGTGACTAATCAAAGGTGGTGATTTGTTTCTTTTCTGGGCAAACATCTTTTCACAGAATCCAAAGTGAATTCTGTTTAATTCTAGACTTTCTGCTTCAGAAATTAATCTCAGACAAATGACATATTTTTAATAGCTCTAGTCTGTTATGCTTTAGCCAGAATATTATCAAGCCTGAAGGTCTGCATTTATGAATGCAGTGGCTGAAACAAGTCATGATGAGAATGATCACAACTTTAACTGTTACAAATCTATTTATACTCAATTTTGGATTTGTTAATTTATTTCATTTCTGTGCATGTTTGTCACTCATAAACACATTTTCCTGCTGGTATAGCCTCAACTGAGTTATATGACATGACAAACTGACAGAACTGCACTATTGCATGTTAGAGGGGAGTGAGACAGTCTGCTTCCTGTCTCACTCCCCTCTAAATTTTGTTGCTGAATTGTCTGGACACTATGATTTTATTATTAGCCTTATTTTTCTGCAGCCTATAAAATGCACATAAACCCCTGAAAAACAACTGTAACACACACACACAAATAACAAACAAAAAAAAACTGATAAAAGCTCAAATAGTACAACTTGACAATACAGTGTTTTGCAATGTAACAGTTACTATGAAATATTCAGTTCTTGTGCACAAATGTGAAAGATTGCCAGGGGAAATGAACCTAGTAAATCACAATGTTGAAAGCTGCCCAGTTTATTTCTGACTCTTGAGGGTTTAATGTGTTGTTCTGCACTGGTGCACTCAGCTTGTGGGTTGTTATTACCTGTTAGAGACTGAAATGGAAGCTTGTGTTGTCTCATGCAGCATCACACACGTATATAAAAGACTCAAAAGCTTTCTGGTGTTGTATTTTCAACCCAGAGAAGAGTTGGCCTGTGTTAATGGCAGTAAAGTGCCAAGTCAGAATGCAAAAGTGGACTGTCTTTTTTTCTTGCTATAGCAGCATGGGACTCAGAGGGAAGTTCCAGGAAGAGAATAAAAAGCATTTCTCACTCTTCCTCCTGGTTCTCTATGGCAGCGTAAAACAATATACCAAGAACTGTGGATATTGTGTGACTCACAGAGCAGTGAGTTAGGTAAATGTGTTTTTAGTCAGTTAATTTTGAAAAAGTAATTACTTTTAATTAGAGAGGGGTTACCTAAAATCCCCAAAGTATGTCTAAGTGTAACTTAACAGGCCGTTAGAGAAACAGCAATGATTATCATGGTATGAGGAGCTGTGAAGACTCACAACTTTGGTGTAAAAATATATGAATGGCATAAAAACAACAAAAATCTGGCCTTTATAGAACGGTGGTCAGAAAGCAAAAGTTACAGGAAGATTGTGTTTGCAGATTGTCTCAATCCGGTTAAACATACTCTGGTTATTTTGAGGCTATGTGCCAAACATTGTGTGGTGGAATCATAAATCTGTATCTCAAGCTGAATAGTTAATCTCTCTAATAAAATATGCAGTATAATGTGGGGATACATTTAGAGATGTTGGAAGATGAATATAGCTAAATCAGCAAGAAAACCTGCCAGAAACAATCAAAGACTTGAGACAGGAATGGAGATTCTCTTTCTAGCAGCCCCAAACATGCAGGCAGTGATACAGTAGAATCACTGAGATCCAAGCACCTTATCGAATGGCAAAGTCAAGATCTACCTTGTTCCCTGATTATTTTTTTCTTTCTCCCATCCAAACTAACCATGCTTGAACAATTTGCAAAGATCAAAATGGTGAAATTTTAGTCCCTGCATGAGCTAAGCTGCTGGAGACATACCCCAAACTCCTTGCAGCAAGATGCTTCCATTTTGTACAGGATCAGCTCAGGGGGCCTGAATACAAATGAACACCAGACTTTTTGTGAACCTCAACTTCACCTTTTTTATGTAACCGGTTAAAACTGTGATGCTGAGGCTGTAGCGTATGCTTTGACCTTTCAGCTGCAAAAATCTGGACTGGAGAGGCATGTCTTTGTCACCTTGATGCACAAACTCTGGTACCTCTGTTTTAGCTCCCCTTCATCACCTGACACTGCCATCACCCTGTAAAATACAAGCTGCAGCACATGCTGGTTTGACATTCCACTTCTCTCCGAGTACCTGCTGAACAACGCGCCGTTTTCTCCTCCATGAGATCAAGAGACCGTGACGAGAGTGCAACTACTAAGTCGTGCAGGAAAGTGTTATGCAATTTACCCCCATTTGAGTCAACCGACCCACCCCCCGTGCTCCGTATGCAGAGGCTGCAGCTCTTGATCTAGTCTGTGTTGTTTGGTAATTACACAGCTGGGTATTACTGCACTGTTACAGAGCCAAAGGGGAGATGACGCTGAAACACTACACTTGTGGGGTTGGGTGAAGTGTTCCCCTGATGCCTTCAGGCTGCTGTGCGTTTACGGTGAAGAAGAAAAATGGGAGAATGCTACCAAAATTCTTAAATCTAATGCAGAATTGTGTTGATGTGGAGATTATGTGTGAAGGAGAAGGGGTGGATGAGTCTCAGGCTGTGAACAGAAGGGGGAGGAGAGTAACTTGTGTGTGTGTGTGTGTGTGTGTGTTACGAGTCAAACTAGAGGCTCAGGGGCTGGCAAACAAAAGTGGAAGAGGGGAGGGAAAAACGAGGTGGAGGAGGAGGAGGCAGAGGCGGTGCTACGGCAGACAGCAGGGAAGGAAAGCTGAGAAGAGGAGCACTGGGTTGGAGTGAGACGAGAGAGTACTGGAGGATAAGGAGGCTTCCATTTGAAAGTCCTCGTGTCAGGATATGAAGTCCTGGATTGTTGCATCAGAAGAAAACTGGAATGTTGTGGTGACAAGGCAGGATACAGGACAACAAGAAGAAAAGGACGTTGAGGAGAGGAATCTCAGCTGACGGAGATATTTTTACTTTTCTTTTATTGCAAGGAGAGAAAAAAACAAAGATCAGCAGCAGCAATGCAGGACTCTCACTGGGGTGTGTATTGTTGCATTATCTGCATATGGGTACAAGAGTCTTTTTTGTTTTGCTTTTTGTTTTTTCTCCAAGCCTTTAGTCCCTTGTGTTCCTGTTCAGCTTGGCTTGCACAGTTGCTTGAAGGAAAACTTTGCATTCAGGGAAGGTGATGTGGAAACTACATTAATGGGATGAGTAACAGAAAGAAAGGTTGCTCAGCAGTTCTAGTGGCACAGATTGGACTAAATTTTTTTTCCCAGTTTGTGAAGACTCCTAAAATAGTTGAAGTTAAAGTTTTAAAGTAGCGGTATGCTTCATATTCAGCTTTTCTTTTGAAGTCAGCTGCTCTGTGTAATCTAAAATTGAAAGATGGATGACTTGTGAGCAGAGAACTCACAGTCTGGTGGATCATACATTTTTGGTGTGTTGGCCCAGATGCTGTTACCCTGGTCCTCTGTAAGTTGTGTTTTCGAAAAAGTTGGGATGCTGATTTGATTTTTCAGCCTTTAGAAAAAGCTGTTCTTCTCACGGGACAGTTGGCCTGAAGGAGGGGGAAACCACTCTGGACTCACTTTGGAGATAAAGAAGAGAGAAATGCTATACACCGGGGATCAAAGACATAGCTGAGCTTTACCTCTTAAGTTGTGAGCCATAAAATTTATGTTTGAATTTTATCTTTTAACTTTTATCTTTCCGATGTTGTCAAAGCATCGGAAGACAGCGGCTGCTGCTGTTTCTCATGTTTTCCCTCCGTTCTTAATTACATGTCTTGGTATAAGCTTGGTGGCTACGCCAAGCTTATACTCATCAGGTTTGCTCTGACCTGAAAGTGATGCGTCAGCAGA